CTTAATGAAAAATAACTTCATTATTAGTGTTTTGAAAAAGCTCTTGACACCAGCTATTAGATTTTGGAATCAAAAATAGGAGTTTCTATTTAAAAAATTCGATTTGACCTTGAAATGATCTTGAAGATCACGGGCAAGGCCAAATCTAAGGTCACCATCGGATTGCCCGAGAAAAATCCTACAACTTTTGTCGAGGTCATTTTCCTCTGTGATACGTATTTTTCAAATTATCCAGCCGTCCCGAAACTTTTTGACACACGCTGTATAATTTTCCTAATTTTATAAAATTTATAAATTGCAATTTACCCATAAATGATTTAAATTAATAATTAATTTAATTTTATGAATTTTCCAGGGGCATACAATGCTTTGAAAAATAATTGTAATACAATAATTTGCACACATAATGCACAATACAAGTAAAGAACGCAGATTATCTATTGTAAATTTATAAAATATTTTATTTACAAGTTTTTATAAATTATGCATTACAGATTATCAAGTTCTACTTCTTTTTTCCGTTTTTTTACTGCTACTTTTCTTTTTATACTGTTTAATTTTCTTTTTTTTGCCTCCTTTTTCTTTTGCTGTCTAGCTATTTTGCGCTTAGCTGCTGCATCAACATCAACGACAAACTGTAACAAAAAAAAATTTTATATATATATATATATATAATATATACAGGGTGAGACATTTTAATCGCCCAGGCGGACATCTCGAAAACTAAGAGAGATACAGAAAAATGTTTCATACAAAAGTTGTATGGTTCGGAGGGGGACATAAGATGGTACCATTGATTTGACCTTGGGTAGCGCCGTTAAGGTTAGATCAAGGTGACCTTAATTTTCTTAAACACGAACCCTAATTTTTTATTGCATATTCTTGTAGCTGACGTCAAGACGTTTTCGAAACACTGGTCACAAACCCTTTTTGGTTGATATCTTTCTGAATTATGGGTCTTCAAAATTTAAGTACTGCCGGTGTTAGTATTACCCAAGATGTACGGCGTGGAGGTCGCACGTATGTATGTACATACGTACATACCTCCGTACATACGTACATACGTACATACATACGAGGGTCGTCTGAAAAGTTTTGAGCCTCAATACGAAAATGGCATTACTCGTCAAAACCATTTCGGTATTACAATCGTACATGCTTTGAAAGATAATTGTGAAAATTGTAAACATTTTGTACGCTCAGTTATTGTTTGACGGTCATTTGTGCCAGTCGATGTCAGTATTTTCGTAAAAATGGAAAAAAACGAATATCGTGCCGTAATTAAATTCTTGCATTTGAAAGACAATATGCCTACGGAAATTAAAGCCGACAGCGTCTAACTCGGCTTTAAT